ACTGCTGCTCTCCGAGCAGAGAGCCGCGGAAGGAGGGGCTGTCCTGGGCTGTCCCCTGCCCGGCCACGGCCTCTGTCAGAGCTCTCTGTTTGGGGTAATGCCACATGGCTCAGGTGCCCACCCAGCCGAGGCTCCCTGGTGGGGGACGTGGGTGGACGTGCAGGCCGTGGGGAAAGCTGAGGGGTGCGGGGAGCTCGTGTGAAACGCAAGCCTTGGAGGGGCTCTGCTCTGGGTTTGAATTCTGGCTCCACCTTTTCCCTGCTGTGTGGACTTGAGCTCTTTCCTCCCTGAGTCTCAGTGTTCTCACCTGTGAAGTGGGGGCGTTAAATAATGCCTCCCTGGGGGCTGCATGTAAGGAGTGGAGCACACAGAGCGCCGGACCCAGATGGGTGGGCAGGGGCAGGTAACCGGGCTGGCCCTGAGCCCAGCAAGCCCCTCCCTGCTCTCCACCACGTCCTGGCAGGACAGGGCCTGTAGCCTTTCCCACCCCAGGCTGACTGCTTCCCAGGACTGGCTCTGTTTCAGCCCCTGGAGCCTTGGTCTAGCAGATTTGAAGAAAGAGGACGCAGTGGAAGCAAGACATGGGGAGACGTCAAGCTGAGCTGCGGAGAGTCCTACGTCTGAAGGCCTCCCTTTGCCCCCAGGGTCACCTCAGAGGCACCAGACTCTCTTCACCAGTCTGCATACTTGGAAATTGATTATTTGATGCTCAACTTCTTGCAAACAGAAGACTATATAAAACTCAAAAACAGTTTAAAGAAGAGCGAATGTCTGTGTAGCGGCCACCACCAGGTCAAGAAATAGACACCCTGGCAGCATCCCAGAACCAACCCCATCGTGGGCCCCTTCCTTAGCACAGCTGTCTCCCTCCCCGCAGGGCCAATCGCATCCTCATTTTTCCTTGCTTTTCGATAAGGCTTTCCCACCCATGTATGCGTTTCTAAATGCTCTTTTTGTCTTCCTTTGAACTTTCTCTAGACAGAGTCACACTCCACAGAGTCCTCCGTGTTTAAGCTCCTTTCACTAAACATTATGCTGTGGAGTCATCCGTGGTGTTGAGTAGAGCACTGGTCTGTTCATTTCCATTGCCCTGGAATATTCCATGGCACGAATACACCATAACTTATGTCTCCATTTTCCTGTTGGGCATTGGGATTATTTCCACATTTTGTCCATATCAACAGAACCGCTATGAACATCCTCCTACTTCTGCTGAGTTCACACATACAAGATTTTCTCTAGGGTAGATACCTAGGGGTAGAATTGCTGGGCATAGGGTCTTTCCCAAGTGGTCGGCCCATTTGCACCTCACCAGCCACACGTACTCTGCATCTCATCAACACTTGGTAGTCTATAATCTTAATTTTTGCCAACCTCTGCAGACTGGTGGTAGCCTCTCATTCTGACTTTAATTTGCATTTCCGTGATGATTAGGAAATGAGCACCTACCCTCGCCTTTCTTCCTCCCCACTTTCCTCCCTTTTTGGTGCCCTTTTTCCCCTGGTCCCTTTCTTAGCCCCCTCACTCTGCTCAGTTTACTGACCTCCATTTTCCCCTCTGTCCTCCTGCCCCTCTGTCCCCACCCTCCCACTCTCCTTCTTGGGGGACCGATCACTCATCCACAACATTTCTCTGTCATCGATCTTTGAGCTGCAGACCTGGGCTCCAGAGCAGCTGTCTGGAGGTCTGAGATTTCCACTTGGTCTCTGCTTCAAAACCTCTTGCTCTCGGCCCCACTCACATCCCTTCCTGGGCTTTGGATTTCCCTTCAATTAAACAAGGACAGAAAAAAACAACAGCCTTCCACAGAAGCCATTTCAATTTCTCAGGCAAAACCTGGCATATGCCCTGGAGAGGCAAGTGTAAGGTTCCAGCTCTTGGTCAAGGAGCGTTGGCCTTCTCCTGGGGCCACTGAGAGAAAGACAGAGCTGGTGCTGTGAAGTCTTCTGAGCTTCTTACAGGGAAGTTGTTGTTTTGGAGAAGGAAGCTTTCTTCCTAGCCCTGTTCAGGGCCTTGCCAGCTGGTGGCTAGTATGATGCCTGCAGGGATGCGGGGCCCTGGTAGGCACTGGCTCTTGACATTCCTGGGTTTGTCATGCAGCCTCTCATGAGCCCCTCTTCTACCAGCCAGGAGGCTAGCTGACCTCCGAGATCCTTTGCACCTTGAAATTTAGTGGCAGGAGAAGCAGGTAAAGGCACATCCTGTTCCCACGATGTGAAACTTCATTAAATTGCCAACACAGTTTCTGATCTCTAATTTATATTTGCATCAACATGATGTACAAGAGTGGGGGAAGGCTCAGAAGATTTTGGGCTTTGTAAATTTATAGATATGTTACGTACCCATTGTCACTAGGGCTGCCGCTTGCTCATATGGTGCTTTTGTGTGAGTTAGAAAAAGATGCCTCTCTCTTAAGACATTTTACTTTTATTCATCAGAGAAGAGCTATAATAAATATACAAATCTGCAGTGTGAATGGTGTCCCCTTAATTATGATGCCCTTGTGCAGTGCCCAACCTGAACAATCAAACAGGGCAGCTCTGCTTCTCTCCTACCTTCGTTAGTTTTCAAACACAGTTTAAATAAAACTTCCTCTCATACGTAGGTTCCTCGTATCTTTGAAACCAGGGGTTCTCATATCAGAATTCCAGGGGAGCATGTGGGAGGCTGTCCCACATGTCACAGACCTAGACATTATGCAGCTGTCCCCTTCCTCTCTAGTCCACCCAGCCCTCCAGAACACACACTGAGATTTTACAAACTGCAGACCACGTCCCTCAGCTGTGCCGGGCATGAAAATGGTTGAGAAGCACTGCTTTGGGCTCTTGACCATGAGATCCACCCTGTCCCGGGAGGTCCCTGAGATGCAGGCCTGTCCCACCCCGGCGTGCCTGCTGCCTCCTGCTTACCCAGGGGACTCATGCAACGGAAGGACATCTTTGCCACCCAGCCTTAGCCAGGCCTCTTCTCACCTAGGAGACTTTCAAAAAGGACATTTCCCTCTCCTTGAACATCTGAACACGTGCAGTAAAATTGTTATTAAACAAACAATATTATTAATAGCCGCTGTTTATCGAGTGCTTGCTAGGGGCCAGACACAGTATTAAGTGCTTGTCCTATTTTATTGAATACTCTCAATAAGTTTGTGTGGCAGACAGTGTGACTTTCATTACAGTTAAATGGAGGGTCAGGGGAAGTTTAGTCACGTGCTGCGTGCTCAGAGAAGTTTAGCCGTGTGAAGTCACACAGCTAGCGGGGGGTGGAATTTAATCCAAGTCTGTAGACTCCTAAGTGTCCGCTCTGGAGTACCGTGTTCCAGTACCTCCGAGAGCAGAGGGCATCAGCCCTAATGTTTCCACTCAGTCGCTCTGTGGCCTTGATCTAGTTACTTAACCTCTCTGAGCCTCAGTCTTCTTATCTAGAAAATGAGGACAAGAATATCTGCCTTGTTACTTGATTCAAAATTTAAGTGGCGTAATATTTAGCACCACATAGCCCAGTTCCTGGTACACAGCAGCACGGAAATAAGAAACGTTACTTTCCTTCAGTTAGTTTCTTCTCAACAAGACTGTGTGTCAAGATGTGCTTTAATTTTGCTTTCTTCATTCATTCATTCATGCTACAAGCTGTTATTGAGAGTTATTACTATGTGCCAGGTACTGTGTTCAGCCTCCGTCTGCATTTCTTTAAATTACCATGGGCCTGCTTAGCTGACCTACACCTGATACTGTCTGGAGGACAGAAGGGTTGCAGGAGTACTGATCCCACCTGATCCCATGACGGCAGGGGGGCCAGTGGGCGTAGCTCCAGAGCTGGTTAAGGGGCCTAGGAAAGGAGCAGTTACGGTGAGGGTGAGTCTCGTCTGTGCACTGCCTTCCTGCTGGCCCATGTGCCAGTCACGGCTGGAGCCACTGGCGGGGAGGAGGGGTGCCCTTGGATGCCTCTCACAGAGGGGCTGGCGGGTGCGGGCCTCAGTCTCCTGGTTCTGGGTGGAGGAGGCTCTTGGGACCAGTGGCTGAGTCCTCATTTGGAAGTTGAGAGTCGTTGTGGAAATCGGCTCTGCCTCAGGCTAACAAAGATGGACCGCCTCCGACTGGGGTGTGGGTGGGAAAAGGAACAGGATTTTTCTTTCTGGGGTCAGAATACACCATATTCCAGAGTTTCACTGCTCTCACGCTCGGTGGTCTTACCTCCTACTTCATGGATGGTGTCACAGCCCTCCTGCCCGCTCCCTCTGGACTCCCCTTGGCTGCCCCTCGGCTGCCCCCCGCCTGCCCACGGTGACCCCTGGCCCATGCCCGTGCCCTAAGGAGCACACGTGCCACAACTAAGGAGCCCGCCTGCCACAACTAAGACCCAGTGCAACCAGATAAATAAATAAATAAATATTAAAAAAAAAAAAAAAAAAAACTAAAGAAAAGTTTCCTGGCAGTACCTCATAGTTGGAATTTTTATTCCTTAGT